TCTATTTAACTGAACAATTGTTAAATGTTTGATTGTTCTGTTTCAATTAACACATTTTAATAAATACATGTTGGAAGCAATTAATATATTTTAAGTTCTCATCCTTGCCGTAAAATATATAGAGCAGTTCATATTTTGACGGTATCATGTGGTAATGCTCCATCACGCGTTTTAAATCTATTACACAGTGAAAATTGAACTGAAGCTTGACTTGAAAAAATGGCATCGCAAATCAAATCATCGCAATATCTGTCAGAAAAATCTCAATTAGATATTTCCCCCAAATCGTTCAGCCCTATCGTAGATGCGCCAGAATCTGTACGGAAACTCGCGGCACACAGCTCACGTCCATGCCAATGATAGCCGGAGCGATGATTCGATTTAAAGCTTTCGTGACTGCAGGGATTCATCTTCTTTGTTCTTTCCGTAAAGTCACGTAGAAGGGAAGTAATAAAATAATAAAAATAAAACATAATAAATCGTGAGAATTATTGTATTATGTTTTATAGTTATTATTTTATTACTTCCCTTCTACGTGACTTTACCGAAAGAACCAAGAAGCCGGAGCGACGTTTGTTCTTGACGGTAATAGTTTAGCGATCGTGCGAGAAACGAACACGTCACGGCGAGCTAGCGCCGCACATACGAAATACTCACCCCACCCCCTGCCAGGATCTCGGATAATTCAACGATTCAACGGCATTGGCACCCTCGAAGAAAGAGATAGATTTGATTAGAGCCTGCTTGTGACCTGCCTGCCCGCAGAGGATCCCACTCGTGCAGCGATCTTCATTGCAAGGCCCGCCAGGGGCGACAACACCCCCTACCATCATCGCCATCGTGTCGCTGTCAAACCCCCGATGGTTTCAAATTTGGTGCAGTCCTGCTCACACTCATGATTTCTTATCGGCGAAACTACCCCCCCTTGCTCCCCCGTCTGAGAATGAGTGAAGGACGCTGGCCTAATCGATCGCCCGCTGACCCTTTCGGCTCATTTGGTCTCCACCATGCACGGCCGTGTCACGCACGTATGTTGAATTTCTTTCGCACCGTACGTAGCCCACCGTGCTAATCGGAGATGCGGGGGAAGGACAACAAACTAAACACAAACATCAATTCTAAAGGAATGGGTTTTCAATCTAGATAATAATTTAAGAGTGCACAGCTCCCAGTAGCGTCCGAATACCGTAAGGAAGAGCGTTCCAGACGGCCGCAGAAGCGCATCTGAAAGCGCACTCCACAAGCCGCTGCTGTTGCTGCGAGGATGAGTGGAGTTCGCGTGACGGTGGTTCTTGGACGAGATGATCGAGGTAATTGTGATCCCTTTGCGGCAAGCACTTTCTCGTGTGCGGAACGAGTGCGATGACCTCGTCGCGTCTTCGTTCGGCACAAGCGGAAGCTAACGCGGCTCGGAGAATTCGTCAACGCAGCCGCGAGCCTTCGGTGCCCCTTGGAGTTTCCTCCAAACCTCTTTGCGCAACGAATTCCAACGGACAAAAAAAGTGAAGTGGGTGGGGGGGGGGGTTAAAGGCGCAGCCCTGCAATTGCTTGGCCTGGCGCCACTGCCGGCAGATGGGCCCTCACTGGAGTGAGTGCATCAGAGCCCCCCCCCCCCTCTAGGATGATGGTATATACATGTTATTCTTCCACGCAGGCCAGAGGTGACAGTACTCGTCACACTTTACTCCACCGCACCACGGCGCTGACAATCATAGACTGTGGTGTGTCCATCTTCTTGGTTCTTTCGGTAAAGTCACGTAGAAGGGAAATAATACAATAATACAAATAAAACATAGACGCTGTCTTTCCGACAGCCCTGTTCTTCACCTGAAGACGGCTGCTTGCGTTGTGGGAGAAACGTCGTGAGAATTATTTTATTATGTTTTATTATTGTTATTTTATTATTTCCCTTTTACGTGACTTTACCGAAAGAACCAAGAAGATGAATCCCTGCAGTCACGAAAGCTTTAAATCAAAATGTGGTGTGTCCATGTATCTTCATAGGGGAGGGTTTAAGAAACCGGTCTCATTGTTTCGACTGCCGCGCCGCGAGATCGAAACAAAGCAAAGACCTGGTTCAGAATCGGAATATTAATTTAGACTGGAGGAATCCGAAGAGCTATCAAGCTCCTTTGTTCATAGATGGCCAGTCCGGGGCAGGCCAGAACGTCTCAACAACAAGCAATGGGGCCGTCCATAAATGACGTCACGCGATTTGGGACTATTTTTACCCCCCCCCCCCCTTCGTCACACGGCGTCACAAAAAGTCAGACCCCCCCATCTCAAATATGACGTCACAAAGCTCTGCCCCCCCTCAAAACTATATTTCCATTCATAAAATAAAACATGCTTCAAATCGCTTTAAACTATCGTCATTGTAGTGCGTATTTAATGTGGCGCTGCACTCTGATGTTGTAGAAGAAAACATTTACTTAAAAGAATATTAAATTTAATCTAAATTTCTTGCTGTGATTTTCACACCTGATGATGATTGCCTGTGTTGCAATCGAAACGTCGTGAGAATTGTATTGTTTTATTTTTTATCATTTTTTTTATTTCCCTTCTACGTGACTTTACCGAAAGAACCAAGAATATAAGTAGAACGTGTTGTCTATATTTATTTAAAGTTGGGCATTTTAATGTGACGTCACATTTCTCACCCCCCCCCCCCCCCTCGTCACACATCGTCACAAATGTCTGACACCCCCCCCCCCCCCAGGTGCGTGACGTCATTTATGGACGGCCCCTAACGTGATGCAACCAGAAATGATTAAGATTGACCTGTCGAACTGTATGTGTGTGTGGGGAAGCGGTAGAGTAGTTGCTGTTAGCGCCCTGCGAGACGAACCCAGTGATCCGTGTTCGATTCCCGCTCACGACCGACACCAGTGATGATTATCTGAAACGGCCCTGGGCTTCCCCTAGGTTGACTCAGCCTCAAATAAGTACATGGTGGCGCGTGTAAACATCGCCACTCGGGAGACAAAGGCGGTCGGGCGTGGTGCTTGCCAACGCACCCCCTTGTGTGCCGTGCCGGCCTTCATAGGCGCTCGCTAACAGCACTTGCCCCAACAGTCTGTTAAGGCTACACGGGGGATATTTGTCTTTTTGTCTTGTACTTTACTATAAAATATAGGCGCCAGAATCTGTATGGAAATTCACTGCACGCAGCTCGCGTCCCGTGCCAACGATAACTGGAACGATGCTTGTCCCGATATTACTGTGTGTTGTAAACCTTCCTCCACCCGGCAAAGTCCATTCATAAAAAAAATTCACGTGTTATCAAACGTGGCCAGGATGTATTACTGCTTCAGCAGCATTAGGCACTTACCAGTCAGTGTTTGAACCATAGAGGCCGATCTTGACACCTCTGGAACCGATCATCGGCATGTCCACTCAGCTCCACATCATCCTGTACCACATGAGCCAATCTCTTCTCTAGCCCGTGCCCGTTTAGCCCCCCTCTGTCCCGCCAAACAGAAGCTGTTTGGGTTTAGCAGGGGCTGGGCATGCGGACTACGGGACCCAGCCAAAGCAGCCTTGCCTGCCGGAGGTGGTCGCAGATGGGAATGTGTCCAGATCTTTCAAAGATCTGAAAGCTCCTCAGTATGGATCGTAGGTAAGCGAGCCTGAATGTTTCAAGCAAGTGGAGATGTTCCTTCAGAGGGGGTCCAGGTTTCGCAAAGAAACAGGGAGGGGCATAGCTGTGCCCTCTAACAGACTGTTGGGGCAAGTGCTGTGAGCGAGCACCTATGAAGGCCGGCACGGCACACGAGGGGGTGGGTGGCCAACACCACGCCCGGCCGCATTTGTCCCCCGAGTGGCGATGTTTACTCACCGCTCCAGGTACTCATTTGAGCCTGAGTCGACCTAGGGGAGGCCCATCACCGTTTCAGTCAATCGCCACCGTGAGCGGGAATCGAACTCGGCTCGCCGTGTTCGTAGGGTACACGCTTACGAACGCAACTCACGGACACACACACGCGCGCACTGGTGACAAACTTGTTTTTCATTCTAGATTTGAAGTTTTCGTGACTGCAAGATCCATACTCTTTGGTTCTTTCGGTAAAGGTCACGTAGGTGAAATAATACAATGAAAACAAATTACGTCGTGATTTAATTAATTAATTTTTATTATACTCTTTTTCACCTACGTGACTTTACCGAAAGAACCAAAGAGTATGAACTTTTTTTGTTGTTCTCAGAAGTGTAAATGGATGAGTGGCTCCGAGTGTGAAACGTTGCGCTGGCGGCGTGTGATGGCAACGTCTTGCGAGCCCGGGTACCGTAGTTTCAGCCGTGCACCGATTCCCTGTCGGGGCGTGAATCATCCACGCGATTCCAGCGCTCGTCCTGCAAGGGGCAGCTTTTGTTTCCTGCTTTGGAGGCAAATTTACGGCGCTTCATTTTTTGTGTAGTTTTTTGTATTTTAATGGAATTTGGGGGACCTGACCTTTAAAGTATTTACATTTCTCCCTGTAGAGTAAGTTGTGAGTGACATTTTGCATGCCTTCACAAATTGGAATCCATATGCAGCAATGCGCATTTCATCTCGAGTTAGTGCTGTGATGTTACATTTTTATCAGTTTTGTGGTTAATTATTACCATTGTATCTTGAGCGAACATCATTTTTAATTTGTAGTACGTAATTATCATTGTTATTTGGGCAGTTAGTCAATCGGCAGGTTATCTGTGGTGGAGTAAATTGTGGATGACTTCCACCTCGACCTAACTGTCTGGACAGTGTGATAAGAGTTTGGTGATTGGACAAAAAAAACTTAAAACATTGGTAGTGGGGAGAGAAAAGAGTACGTCTACCGTGGAGATGGAGTCACAAAATCTTCTCAGATGCAGGTTCCATATTGCTCCATCGTGTAGGAGCGTGAGAGGGCGAAGGGGTGGAAGCCTTCATCTGGCAGTGGATCGATCGCGGATGATGATGACGATGCTGATTACGACTGGCGGCTGTTCAATAACGTGACGCCTCACTTTGTTGGAAGCAGCTTCAACATAATCATTTTTATTTCAAGTGGTATTTATAAAAATGTTCATTCCATTTGGCAGCCCGCAATAAAACAGTGACAAAAACCACCACTCTCTATTCTGTGAAATGTCTTACAGCACAGCACGAAGAAGCATTTGCCAGCAATTGGGTACAACGCAAACTTTGACCAGAAACAGACTGTACAGCAGATCTCAGTTCCAATTAAACATCTAGAAAACATTAACGAGGATGGTTTAAACAGGCAATGCAAGCAGGAATTTCATCATGGATGGGGGGGGGGGGGGTTAGTTTTTTTTGTCATTTTCATTTTGCAGTCACGTAGAAATGCTTTGGAGTTCGGTGGTTTTCAAAATTCCAGCCCCACCATCAGTTCTGAATCTAGTCCAGATTTCCACATTAGATTTCAGTCCAGATTTGAATCTGATCCCAGTCCGGAGTTCTGAATCCAGTCCTGATTTCCACATTGTATTTACGTCCAGATTTGAATAAGGCTCCAGTCCAGAGTTTTGAATCCAGTCCAGATTTTTACATTAGATTTCAGTCCAGATTTGAATCCGAATCCAGTCCAGATTTCCACATTAGATTCTAGTCCAGATTGTAATCCGAATCCAGTCCAGAGTCCTACATCCAGTCCAGATTTCCACATTAGATTTCAGTCCAGATTTGAATCCGAATCCAGTCCAAAGTCCCGAATCCAGTCCAGATTTTAATCCGAATCCAGTCCAGAGTCCTTAATCCAGTCCAGATTTCTACATTAGATACCAGTCCAGATTTGAATCCTAATCCAGTCCAGAGTCCTTAATCCAGTCCAGATTTCCACATTAGCCGGTCTTTCTCTCTTTTTTTCGTCTCGCTTTCTCGCACGCGCAAGCCAGGACCGCCCCACCCCCCCCCCGTTTATGTCCCGTTTAAATTGGAGAAACTTGGAACAATCTGGTGAGCGGATCGCGACTTTAAAGGAACTGGCATTTTTGACAATCGGGTACCTCGAGGAAGCAACGGAAACGAATTTCGACTCAATACCTTTTTAAAATGAGGTCACAGACGACATCACGAGTTTCAGGCAGGGTGATGTAAACGGATGCTGTTTACACTGGGATATAGAGTGTCCCTCTGGCTCTGTTGATCTCTTACCCCTTTAATCGTGTAATAATCATATATTTGTTTCAATATCCCCCTTGTTGACAAACATCCTTTGACTCAAGCATCTTCCTCCACATTAGAAGCTTCGCGCCCAAAACTCCACCACCGCCACCACCACCCCAATGCAATGCGGTTGCTCTATATCAGTAACAAATGTTTGCCTTTTGTTGACGGCCCAGCGCGCGCTGCTCTGCAGTAAACCCTTTAATTTCTCTCTCTCTCTCTCTCCAAAAGAACTTTCCATCGGTTGTCGCCTCAAACGGAACGCAGAAAATGTAACAAAAATCCGGCGTTGCAAGTTCGAGCTGGAGAACGTTTTTTTTTCCATTCGTGTGCCTTCGTTTTCACGCCTCTTTACCACCAACCACCCACCACCCACCGCCAAAACCCCATCCCACAACCCACCGCCGCCACTTCCCCGACCTCTCTCCATCAGTCTTGAACAGCATCGCGAGCGAGCGAAATCTTCGAGACGAGCGAAGCAGCGGGCGGCCGGCTGCTCACGTGGTCCCACCACCATCCCCAGCTTTGTTCGCTCCGCTCCGGCGATAGAGGCTGCCGTGAATTCGCGAGGAGCAGGAGGGGGGGGGGGTGAGAGAGAAGCGAGCAGGTTGCGCTGCAAAGGAGGATTCTTTGTTGGTGTGGTTTTTGAAAAAATATCTTTCCACCAAATCTATTTTGTTTTCACTTTAACTCCTGTTGGGTTGTTGTTGTTGTTGCGTTATCTCAATGTGATCCACGGATGTTGTTGTTGTTACCTCCTTGTAACCCACCGTTGTTGTTGCTGCTGTTACCTCCTTGTGACCCACCGTTGTTGTTGCTGCTGTTACCTCCTTGTGACCCACCGTTGTTGTTGCTGCTGTTATCTCCTTGTGACCGACGGTTCTTGTTGTTGTTGTTGCTTTATCTCATTGTGACCCACGGTTGTTGTTGTTGTTGCATTATCTTATTGTGACCCACGGTTGTTGTTGTTGTTGCATTATCTCATTGTGACCCACGGTTGTTGTTGTTGTTGCATTATCTCATTGTGACCCACGGTTGTTGTTGTTGTTGTTGCATTATCTCATTGTAACCCACGGTTGTTGTTGTTGTTGCATTATCTCATTGTAACCCACGGTTGTTGTTGTTGTTGCATTATCTCATTGTAACCCACGGTTGTTGTTGTTGTTGTTGTTGCTTTATCTCATCGTGACCCACGGTTGTTGTTGTTGTTGTTGCTTTATCTCATTGTGACCCACGGTTGTTGTTGTTGTTGTTGCGTTATCTCATTGTGACCCACGGGAACCCAGCCATCATGGCGACATCGCCACCGTCTCTCTCTCTTCCGCGTGCATCATCCTCCTCCTCTTCCTCCTCCTCTTCCTCCTCCTCTTCCTACTCCTCTTCCTCCTCCTCTTCCTCCTCCTCTTCCTCCTCCTCTTCCTACTCCTCTTCCTCCTCCTCTTCCTCCTCCTCTTCCTCCTCCTCCTCTCGTGGAGGAGAAGAAACTCGCGCGGGTGCACGTGACACGAGCAACGTAGAAATAGCAACGTCATTGCACGGATTTTTTTTTGTAAAAGTGTTTTTTTTCTTCGTCGCCATCGTCGTTGTTGAAGTTGTTGTTGATGTCGTTAGCAGTTGTTGTTGTTGTTAGTAGTTGTTTTAGTAGTAGTAGGAGTATCACTCTTCTGAATGAACTCCAGGGTTCATTCAAGGCTAAAGCGGAACCTTCCGTCAGCGCGCCACCACCCAGGTGTGCGAAGCTAGTCAGGCCCAGGCCCCCACCTCACCTTGGGAGGTGGAGGAGGTTGCAGCTGTCGATGATGATTGGAGTGATTGATCGGCTGAGTGATTGATCGGCCGAGTGATTGATTGGCCGAGAGTCGAGCGCAAAGTTTTTTTGTTTTGTTTTCGCTTTAGATTCCAAGACCACGCGCGGTGCCTTTATCGCCTTTCTTGTAAACTTTTTTTTGGGGATGTGCTTGGCTTCGGCAGGGGGTCATCTCTCTCACTGGCTCCCTTCCCCTCCCACGACCCCCGTTCACATCCTCTTGTCTGTCGCCGTCTAACCCGTGTGGTTGCTGTAGTTTATGTACGTGGCCTTCTTTCCCGGGTCGGCTATTCTCGACACGGAAATGATGAAGCGTAAACAATAACAACACAAATCAAGCAAAGAAAGTGGGATGTAAATAATAAATGCACACACACGCACACGCGCACAGGGACAAGAGTGGGGTTAGCGCATGTTCGTTTGCACGCACGCGCGTGTCCATGCACAGGTTCACAGTTGAGTGTGGGCGGGCATGCGGCAATTCATCTCCGCGGCGAATCGAGTACAAACAATTCGATTGCGTCTTCTTGGTTCTTTCGGTAAAGTCACGTAGAAGGGAAATAATCAAATAATAAAAATGAAACATAATAAAATAATTCTCACGACGTTTAGGCCACAACGCAAGCAGCCGTCCTCAGGTGAAGAACAGGTCTGTCGGAAAGAGACAGCGTCTGAATGAACACCACCAGGCTTGGAAGTGTATATTTAAGCTGGGTTGGAGGGGGAAGAGCGCCTTGACAAAATAATTTGCATATCAATAGAAATTTAGCATATTTATGTTTTATTTGTATTACTTTATTATTTCCCTTCTACGTGACTTTACCGAAAGAACCAAGAAGATGAATCCCTGCAGTCACGAAAGCTTTAAATCGAAATTTAATTTGATTGCGTTTTTCATCTCATTCGTTGCCGTCTCGTTTCGCCAAGAACTCTGTCCACCCGAGTTCGAGTCCAGGCCACGGGTTCTGCCCTCCGACGCAACCCTCACTCATCTTCACCAACCCACACTGACCAGCGTGGTGAAGTATTGTCAACAAAATTTTGATTTAAAACTTTCGTGACTGCAGGGATTCATATTCTTGGTTCTTTCGATAAAGTCACGTCATCAGGTGTGAAATCCACAGCAAGAAAATTTTATTGCTGTGGATTTCACACCTGATGACGTGACTTTATGATGATTGCTTGTGTTGCAGTCGAAACGTCGTGATAAATTTTTATTTTTATATTAATATTATTTTATTATTTCTCTTTTACGTGACTTTACCGAAAGAACCAAGAATGTGGTCAACTAGCCACCGTGACCGACACGGCATGGGAAGGCCGTCATCCAGCAGTGGATTTACTAAAGGACTGTGAACAACAATAATAATACTCATCAGCATATATTCATTCTAGATTTGAAGCTTTCGTGACTGCAAGGATTCATACTCTTAGGTTTTTTTCGGTAAAGTGACGTAGGTAGTAAATAAGTAATACAAATAAATAATAAAAATAATAGAAATAATAATATCAATAAAATAAAGCATTATTTATTATTTTACTTCTATAATTATTTCTATTATTTTTTTATTATAATAGAAAAAATAATAGAAATTGAATAATACAATATGTATTACTTTATTTTGTATTATTTCTATAATTTTTAGTATTCATGTTTATTATTTATTTATTTTTCCCCTACGTGACTTTACCGAAAAAACCTAAGAGTATCATATATTCATTATACCATGGATGTCAAAATATCTGCTGGCACAGTCGCAGTCCACCCGTCTTTCAATCAAAACACAAACTCGTGCCTCTGCGTTTTGCCTGGAACGGGGGCCCCATAATTTTCAGCGGAGTGCGCTTGCCAATAACATCCGAGGAATCCGTCAACACGTGTGTTTAACAGGCCTGACTCCGCTGATGAGACTCAAGGATTTCAAAACCGGTCCCGACTTTTGCTCGCCTGAAATCAACTGCCGCTCAATAGCCTTGGTGTGGTAGGCCAAGAGGCTGACGGAGCCAAATTGACGAGACTGTTTTATCTCCGCGCAGAGACAGAACGAAGTTCTTGCTGACTGTGCACTCTCAATCGCAATGGTCTCGTGGTTCAACTTCTTGGTCGGGTGTCGTGTCAGCCCATCGAACATCGATTGACCAATTCCTTAAACACGCGATTCGAAATGCGAGTTCGGAAAGGAACCGGCGAATCAACACGTGCCTTGCGAAAAGGCCTTGACCCGACACAGCCTACCGTGACGACGGCTGCCTTTAATCCTAGCGCCCACAGCTGTCGACGAAGCACAAACCTGCAGTTGCTTACACATTCATTAAACACAGCAAACAGTAAACCTTGCTTATGTAAAGTACTCGGCACAAAGTCGTGCTTTGTGCAGTCGTGGAGAATATAAGTAGCAAAATAAATAGGCAGGCGACGTCTCCTTCATGCATCTGTCCCTTAATTATTTTCACTTTCCATCAGTCACGAGACATTCTGACAGTGCCTCATTTCAGCAGCATTGGTTCGGTACGGGGCGCCTAAGTGGTGAGATGTCATCTCCCTCGTATGCAGGAGGTCGTGGGTTTGATCCCGATCCCGACCCTGACGCCTGTATAGTTGGATTTCGCATGTCTATTTCTCTCTCTGTGGTCGCGTGGATTTTTATCCGGGACCTACGGGTTTTCCCTCCATATTTAGAATCAACGTGCGTTTAGAGTATTTGACTGCTACACATTTACACGTAATGATAAGCCACTTAATTGAGCTTTCATTTGTGGCCAGGTCGCTTTTGAAAAAAAGAGCTATACATCTCAGTAGGCCTCACCTGGTCAAATACAAACTAAAAACAGCACAAACATAATCTGGGCCGGTTTTTACATACACTGTCTCATCAGCAGTCAGGCTTGCTTGAGCCATGACATATTTTGTGTGCCGTATTTTTATGTTGCTGTGTATTATATCGTTTTGTGCAGAAGTGAGAGCCATGTCATCAAGAGTGGGGCCTTGCATCTAACATTGCGCCGTGCTGCTGCATTGGTTAAAACAAGCCTGCCTCTGCTGATGAGTCTCTACACGTTAAAACCTGCCCAGAGCGTGCTTAGATCGAAGCATTGCATACGACTGTGTGGCAGCTGATGGGTTGTGTAAGGGTCACTTTGAATCACTACGTGGACGGACGGATTCGTGGAGACATTATCCGTGTAAATAAATGTATTAGCTAATATTTTTTGTTTAAAATTAATTAGCTACGTGTGTTTGTGAGAACTTTTCCCCACGGTATGAATCCAAATGTATTAAAATGAGAACAATAATCGCCTTACGCAGTCTTCCGTTCAAATGAAAAATAATACCACGTTAATTAGACAATGTTCGTTTGCATTACGCGGACATCAGACTTAATTACGGCTCTTGTATTTTTTTGTTCAGAGAAAGGAAGAAGAAGACCAAACGTAAATATTTATTAAATAAAAACAAACTTCCACTGTCAACAAACCCAAAAATATTCCGCATCGATTTGTCGGGGAGGAGACTGCATTCGATTCTCGCTCAATTAATGCAAATTAATTAATACAAATGACAAAATATTTATCATGAGACCTCCTTTGCCAGTACCAAAATATGAGAATAGGTTTTTCCCCTTTTTTCTGCCAACAAAACAAATGTTAAGATGTTAAAACAACAAACTGAAACCTTTTACATGGAATCACGTCTGCATTAACCACAATGCTTGTGGTCAGAATGCAAACAAAAAACACACTGTGATAATATATGCATTGTCTTTGAAACTGATTGGTCCACACCAGAGACAGCTTTCTTTTGAGCCTCGTCTCAAACGGCGCTAGACCAGAGGACGCCAAAAGTCTAACATCGTTTGAGACGAGGCTCCAAAGAAAGCTGTCTCTGGTGTGGACCAATCAGTTTCAAAGACAATGCAAATATCAGAATACGTTTTTTGTTTGCATTCTGGCCACAAGCATTGTGATTAATGCAGACATGATTCCTTGTAAAAGGTTTCAGTTTGGTGCGTTAACATCTTAACACAGCTGTTTTGTTGCCAGAGAAAAGAGGAAAACCTCTTCTCACAAAATATTTAATTTCGTTTGTTTCCCCCCCCCCCCCCCCGCGCCTCCCATTAGCACGATTGGCTACGTACGGTGCGAAAGAAGTTCAACGTACATACGTACAAAGTCAGGACACGCGGGGTCATTTAATTTATTGTCACGCTGGCATTAAAACGTTTTAATTGTGTATCCTTGACGTTCATATTTTATCTGTTATCAATTTCTACTTTTCATATCCCTCTGGTGGTCACCGCAAATGTTGTCGTTTTAAAAGCAAAAAAAAAAACTCGACCAAAAACTCCGAATGAATTGAGACGAAACATAATTGATGAACGTTCAGATAATCCAGCTGCAATCTTCGATTAAAAACAAAGTCCAACATTCATTTAAAAATATAATCCATGCAGCATGCATTCGTGCGAATGAAAGGCAGTTTGACCATTTGTTATGATAAATTTCCCTTTGTGATTTGTTAAAATAAACTTAACAGCCACACGTGTGATAATTGTTTTTTTTACCCTTTTATCTGGCAAAAAAACTGACACCTTTTTTACAAAGAGTCATGTTTGCATTGACCACAATACCTGCGGTCGGAATGCAAACAAAAAAACACAACTCTGATAATGTATGCACTGCCCTTGAAATTGATTGGTCCACACCCGAGACAGATTTTCTTAGAGCCCAGTCTCACATGGTGTTGGACCAGATGACGCCAAAAGGCGCACAGCTCAAAGACAATGCACCATCAGAGTATGGGAGCTCGGGATAAGCATTTACACCATTGGAACCTCCTTTGCCAGTAGCAAAATATGATAATTGTTTTTTTTACCCTTTTATCTGCCAACAAAACTGACACCTTTTTTTTGTAAAAGCCCCACGTGTGTCCTGACTTTTGGGCCACCCTGTATAGATTTTTTGACACGCAACGTTCACGCACACGAGGAACATTTCAACCGGAACAAGTCATGGGGCCTTTTCTCTTGAGCGTTAAGGTCACTTTAACCAAAGCGTGCAATGTTAGTGGAAGGTAAAGTATATTTTGATCGTGCAAATGAAGACAATAACAGAAGAAGAAAAACAACAACTCAACAACAACAACAACGAACCATGCACGTGATTATAATTTACTACTATAATACTGGTCAACGCACTTTTCTGGCATAAGGTATTCCAACGGATTTAAGGTAATTTTGGGGTGCTGATTCCAAATATGGCATCAGTTTTTGTCCATCACATCAGGTTTTTGAGATATCAAATATTGCATTTTCAATAGAAACTGCAGAAGATACATATTAAATAAATGTGGATATCTACATAAAATGATATTATAAACACACTAACCTAAAAATACAGCACCGTATTTTAACACTAAAGCAGTCACTGACTCGCAACAACTTGCAATCATAAGTGACAGAGTTAAATTCGGGTAAAATCAATGAAAATGGGGTATGCCGATAGCATAAAATGAGATGTGATAGAGCAAATCTGAGGTCAGATTTGGAATCAGCACCCTGAAATTAGTCTAAAACAGCTACAAAAGTCCAGGCCAGAAAAACATGTTTTTTTTTGTTGACTAATGTAATGAGACATCAATGTTTGTGTCCGGCGCGTAAACGTCACTCCACGTGGACTAGCCCCCCTCCTTAATAATCATGAACAGGTTACGTCCTTACACCATTGGTACCTTAGTTACCAGTAAAAAATATGATAATTGTTTTTTTACCCTTTTATCTGGCAACAAAACTGACACCTTTTTTACGAGGAGTCATGTTTGCATAGACCACAATACCTGCAGTCATAATGCAAACAAAAAACATAACTCTGATAATGTATGCACTGTCCTTGAAGTTGATTGGTCCACACCCGAGACAGCTTTCCTTAGAGCCTAGTCTCACATGGGTTGGACCAGATGACGCCAGGTATTGTGGTCTATGCAAACATGACTCCTCGTAAAAAAGGTGTCAGTTTTGTTGCCAGATAAAAGGGTAAAAAAAACAATTATCAGGTTACGTCCTGTTCTTTGGGTCTTTCGGTATAGTCATGTAGATAGGTCCAAAAGAAAATAACAAAAAAATAACAACAAAAAACTACGACGTTTCGATCACAACACAAGCGATGGTCATCGGGAGAAAAAAAGAGGGGGAAAGCTGCTGAGGCAGACTGTTTTAAAGGTTTGAAATGGGTGTAGCCCAAGGGTCATAAACGAAGTGGGCGGGGCTAGTGATGTTAATATGAGAGCGGCCTTCACGAGGAGGGCACGGAGGTGGCTATGTCAATGTGAGATATTAGCATATTCTAAGGTTTTCGGTAAGGTCACGTAGGTAAAAAATTAAAATTAATAAAAGTAAAATAAAAATAAAATAAAAATCACGACGTTTCGGAGGCAACACAAGCTTCCGTCTTCTGGTGGAACCGTCACAGCCACGATTGCTGTATCAAGTAAGAGAAATTCCAAGAAAACAGTCCTTGTTTATATACTGGTTGAGGGTGGGAGGAGCCAAGGTAGGCACCTGGATATTATTTTTGTGAGGTTCGGTGCGGCTGAAACACGCTGTTAGGAATGCTCCTTTTGAGCCTTACTTTATTCATTTTAATTTTAATTATTTACCTACGTGACTTTACCGAAAACCTTAGAATATGAATCCTTGCAGTCACGAAAGCTTCAAATCTAGAGATTAGCATGTTCATGGGAGATCGCAGAGCAGCAACGTCGAGCTCGACGTGCAAGGTGGCTGTGTTAGTGTGAGAAATAAAGTTTATCTGGAAGCATATTATATTTTTTGCGACATAGAATTGTAATGTATTACTTACTGTTAGTAGCTCAGCTTATTGGAGAGTATATGAAACTATGTAGTTTATACTTTAGTTGTTTACGTGGTGGTTTATTTACTGCTGCTACATACTATTAACATTCCTTCCCTTTATTAATGTTACCCCTATTCCCTCCCTTTGATGCTACTAATCCTGCATAATGCACGGGCATAATATGACTTTAAACCCCCCGCCAAACCTCCTACGCATTTCACAAGTAGTACTAATTGCATATCTGCATTTCCCATAAATATGCTAAATTCCTCTTGATATGCAAATTCTTTTGTCAAGGCGCTCTTCCCCCTCCAACCCAGCTTAAATAGACGCTCCAAGCCAGGGGTGTGTCATTCAGACTCTGTCTTCTCGACAGACCTGTTCTCCACCTGAGGACGGCTGCTTGCGTTGTGGCCGAAACGTCGTGAGAATTTTTTTATTATGTTTTATTTTTATTATTTTATTATTTCCATTCTACGTGACTTTACCGAAAGAACCAAGAAAATGTAACCTGTTAATGTAAAATCAAAGAGCCGAAAATAACAACTAACATCGGAAGGTGGTAGGATGGGAACATCACAGCCAGTTATGACAAACTGGTTGATAACGTCCTTCCAATGATTGCTCAGTTTATACCCGTCTTCTCGATTGAAGTTGTGGCTTTGTCTGTATATGTGGATGGCTTCATGAACGAATATTTGTTGATAGCCAGTGGGTTTGCAAAGAGCCTTCGTCTTAGAGAAATCTATTTCGTGTGTGCCCACCGCATTAAAACAATGATCAGCCATGGTCGAGGTATTGGTCCTACCGTGTTTCAGATCTGCCTTGTGTTCACGAACACGGTCCGAGACATGTCGCTTAGTTTCCCCAATGTAACTACTGCCGCAGACACAGCTTAGCTTGTAGACACCGGGGGGTATTGCATGTCAGGGATCACATCCTTCACATATGGGATCAGACCACGAAATCATGAGGAAAACACAAGATCCAGGTTCGATTTAACACGGTACATAAAATTCGTGATCTGATCCCATCTGTGAGGGTTTCCTCCGTTTTTTCCCGCTTTCCTCCTCCCACAACAGCGGACACGGCACATGTCCTCAATGGCGTTGGCCCAAACATGCCAATGGAGTCTCCTCAAAAAGAGCCTTTGGACTCAATGTAGCTGTCCTGGGTAAACAACAATCAGCATTATATCACTGAGTGCCATTGACCGCAGTAGCGTCCCTTGCCCCGGTGACATTTACAATGAGCACGGCATAAGCATGGCAAAGCATACTCACGCCATACAATAACGACAACAAAAACGCGCGTTGATTCTCATCGCACGTGCATACGATTTTAAACAACGCTTGAAACGCAATCTCAGCTCCCTCTTCAGAGGAGGCCCTTCCACCACCGATGCAATTGCAGGGCCTGCACCTGCTCCATCTATGCCCCAAGGACAATCAGCTTCCTCCGCCTGCCTCGCGCCGTGATAATTTTTCAACTGGCCAGGTTTCTGGCGAGCGTTTCAAATGTCCCCCCCCCCCCACCTCCTCACCCCCACCCGCAGGGGAAACGTATTCCGAGCGACTCATCGGCCACAGCAGCTTGCGCCGCCGACGGCCGTCAAAATCGACAACTTTGTTCTCAACGCTCGCTCCCCAGAGGCGGTCAACTTCCCACGCTCATCAAGTGTCGCCCGCCAGACCGCCCGTCCGCATGTCAAATCGTCGTCATTGCCAGAGGCGGCGTCTCGTGCGTGCCGACGAGCGGCCTCTCGAACTCGCCGCCGTGACTTTGAGAGGCCACCACAATGTTACACCACCACCCCCCACTTCTCCCCCGGAATCAACGCGACACGGGGGGGGCGGTGGTGGTGGTGGTGGTGGCCGATTGTGTGGAGCGGCGTTGGCCGAGGGAGGTGGCCGTGCCGCCGTCACCCGCGTGCTAGTGGCGGCGAACTCAACGAAGTAAACGAAAACGAAAAACGAACTCGATGTCGAGAAGGAAACGGAGGGAGCGGATACATACTTGGAGCTCACTTACTGTTGGGCTCGGCAGCGTTCTCGCAGATCTCCGTCTTCGCCTGACCGTTGGGGCGTTCGCCCGACTTCTGGGACAGCTTCTGGGACATGGTGGCGGCCGTGACCACGGCCTTGAAGCTGCGCTTGCGCTTCTGGACGTTGAGCTCCGGGTGCAACACGATGATGTAGACCTTGGGGAAGAAGAGCATCCCCAGCGACACGGTGGCGCTGAGGCTCATGGAGATGGTGAGGGTCGTCGTCTGGATGTACATCTGCGCGTGGGTGTCGGGCGGGTGGGAGATGCACGGAGGAATAACGAGAGTATCGTTAACAAGAGCAGCAGCAGCAGCTGCAGCAGCGTCATCAGCAGCAACGTTGACAAAAAGCATCGACAGCATCAAGAAGTTTAACACGTAGGCTTTCGCGACCAATATTATTCATAATCAACGTTTTTGGGTTTAGATCGGGTTATTTATAAATGTGTCGTAACCCTCCACCACCCGACATGGCCAATCAGTAAAAAACTGTCACGTTGACAAAAGACAATTAGTTCACTGCTTTAGCCCACCGGTGTGTTGAAGCGTGAAACCACAACAATTTACAATTTGAGTACGACGTTTCGCTGGTAATTGCATCCAGCATCATCGGGCAATTCGCCAGAACATGACCGACATCAACGGAATCATCAACACTAAACATCAGTGGCATCATCATCAGCAGGAGCAGTGCTAATGTCATCAGGAGTAACGTCGATAACATCATCAACAGCATCAGCACAACACCAGCAACATCCACAAAAGCATTAGCAATGAACATCAGCAACATAGACAATGGCAAAAAATATCATCCACCACATCCGAAGCAGCAACATTATGATCATCAACACCATCAGCACAACAATCTCTCCTTGACATTCGGTGTAATTTTCAGTTTTTTTATTAGGTATAGACCTGTGAGCCATGAGGCTCTTGACTCGGGTGTAACCGTAACAAACAAATCATGAACAAAGAACATCTTAAAGTGACGTTTCGCAACAGAAACATCCAGTAAAAAACAGTAAAAATCTCACCCCCCCCCAAAAGAAGTGAATTAACTTAATGTGGCTTGCGCCCATTGATACTGCTGCTGGGACACGCAGGCGCTACACAAGTTGGAACTAGACACTTTTTTTGCTGCTGGGGTCAAATCCTTCACAGCGTTCTTCATCGCAAGGCCACCAGGGGCCTCTGGTGGCCTCTGGTGGCCTTGAGTGCGTCCCCTGAAGTGCGGTCTCCCACAACGCACGAAAAGAAACAACAACACACCGCATCATCGTCATCGTCGTGATGCTGTCAAACCCAACCCAAGGGTTTCTCACACACTGATGATGTCTGATCGGCGAAAGTACCCCCCGCCCGCCCGCCCTCTGAAAATTAGCGAAGAACGCTGCCTTAATTTATAAACTCCGAGTGAGATGACAGAAGCGATGTAGATTTGGTTTTCCAGACTGTGTGTCTTGTCACTCAGCAACACAGTCACTCAACACACTGCAGGTCACATCAACATCACCCACTCACCACACTGCAGGTCACAACAACTCACTCACCCACGCACCACACTGCAGGTCACAACAACACACTCACTCACCCACTCACTCACCACACTGCATGTCACAACAACACACCCACTCACCACACTACAAGTCACAACAACACTCCCACTCACCACACTACAAGTCACAACAACACACTCACCCACGCACCACACTGCAGGTCACAACAACACACTCACTCACCCACCCACTCACCACACTACAAGTCACAACAACACTCCCACTCACCACACAACAAGTCACAACAACACACCCACTCACCACACTGCAGGACACACCAACACACTCACTCACCACACTGCAGGTCACAACAACACACTCACCCACTCACCACACTGCAGGTCACAACAACACACTCACCCACTCACCACACTGCAGGTCACAACAACTCACTCACCCACGCACCACACTGCAGGTCACAACAACACACTCACTCACCCACTCACTCACCACACTGCATGTCACAACAACACACCCACTCACCACACTACAAGTCACAACAACACTCCCACTCACCACACTACAAGTCACAACAACACACTCACCCACGCACCACACTGCAGGTCACAACAACACACTCACTCACCCACCCACTCACCACACTACAAGTCACAACAACACTCCCACTCACCACACAACAAGTCACAACAACACACCCACTCACCACACTGCAGGACACACCAACACACTCACTCACCACACTGCAGGTCACAACAACACACTCACCCACTCACCACACTGCAGGTCACAACAACACACTCACCCACTCACCACACTGCAGGTCACAACAACACTCACTCACCCACTCACCACACTGCAGGTCACAACAACACACCCACTCACCACACTGCAGGTCACCACAACACACTCACCCACTCACCACACTGCAGGTCACAACAACACACCCACTCACCACACTACAAGTCACAACAACACACCCACTCACCACACTGCAAGTCACAACATCACACCCACTCACCACACTGCAAGTCACAACAACACACTCACCCACTCACCACACTGCAGGTCACAACAACACACTCACTCACCATGCTGCAGATCACAACAACACACTCACTCACCACACTGAAAGTCACTACAACACACTCACTCACTCACCACACTGCAAGTCACAACACACTCACCCACTCACCACACTGCAAGTCACAACAACACACCCACTCACCATGCTGCAGATCACAACAACACACTCACCACACTGCAGATCACCACAACACACCCACTCACCACACTGCAAGTCACAACACACTCACTCACTCACCACACTGCAAGTCACAACAACACACTCACTCACTCACCACACTGCAGGTCACAACAACACACTCACTCACTCACCACACTGCAAGTCACAACAACACACTCACTCACTCAACACACTGCAAGTCACAACAACACACTCACTCACTCACCACACTGCAAGTCACAACAACACACTCACCCACTCACCACACTGCAGGTCACAACAACACTCACCCACTCACCACACTGCAGGTCACAACAACACACTCACCCACTCACCACACTGCAGGTCACAACAACACACCCACTCACCACACTGCAGGTCACAACAACACACTCACCACACTGCAGATCACCACAACACACCCACTCACCACACTGCAAGTCACAACAACACACCCACTCACCACACTGCAGGTCACCACAACACACCCACTCACCACACTGCAAGTCACAACAACACACCCACTCACCACACTGCAGGTTACAACAACACACCCACTCACCACACTACAAGTCACAACAACACACCCACTCACCACACTGCAGGTCACCACAACACACCCACTCACCACACTGCAAGTCACAACAACACACCCACTCACCACACTGCAGGTCACCACAACACACCCACTCACCACACTGCAAGTCACAACAACACACCCACTCACCACACTACAAGTCACAACAACACACCCACTCACCACACTGCAAGTCACAACAACACACTCACCCACTCACCACACTGCAGGTCACAACAACACACTCACCCACTCGCCACACTGCAGGTCACATCAACACACTCATTCACTCACCACACTGCAAGTCACAACAACTCACTCAACCACTCACCACACTGCAGGTCACAACAACACACTCACCCACTCACCACGCTGCAGGTCACAACAATACACCCACTCACCACACTGCAGGTCACAACAACACACTCACTCACCACACTGCAAGTCACAACAACACACTCACTCACCACACTGCAAGTCACATCAACACACTCACTCACTCACCACACTGCAGGTCACAACAACACACTCACCCACTCACCACACTGCAGGTCACAACAACACACCCACTCACCACACTGCAGGTCACAACAACACACTCACCCACTCACCACACTGCAAGTCACAACAACACACTCACCCACTCACCACACTGCAGGTCACAACAACACACTCACCACACTGCAGATCACCACAACACACCCACTCACCACACTGCAAGTCACAACAACACACCCACTCACCACACTGCAGGTCACCACAAAACACCCACTCACCACACTGCAAGTCACAACAACACACCCACTCACCACACTGCAGGTTACAACAACACACCCACTCACCACACTACAAGTCACAACAACACACCCACTCACCACACTGTAAGTCACAACAACACACTCACCCACTCACCACACTGCAGGTCACAACAACACACCCACTCACCACACTGCAGGTCACAACAACACACTCACCCACTCACCACACTGCAGGTCACAACAACACACTCACCCACTCGCCACACTGCAGGTCACATCAACACACTCATTCACTCACCACACTGCAAGTCACAACAACTCACTCAACCACTCACCACACTGCAGGTCACAACAACACACTCACCCACTCACCACGCTGCAGGTCACAACAATACACCCACTCACCACACTGCAGGTCACAACAACACACTCACTCACCACACTGCAAGTCACAACAACACACTCACTCACCACACTGCAAGTCACATCAACACACTCACTCACTCACCACACTGCAAGTCACAACAACACACCCACTCACCACACTGCAAGTCACATCAACACACTCACCCACTCACCACACTGCAGGTCACAACAACAAACCCACTCACCACACTGCAAGTCACAACAACACACCCACTCACCACACTGCAGGTCACAACAACACACTCACCCAACAACAACAGCCACCATTCGCCACTAAGTGGCGGTGACGTCACAATGGCGATTGTGCCTGGACAGGTGCACTTTGAGGTCACGTGACGTGTGAAGACTCGCTGGCAGGAGGTGACGGGACAGACCCAGGTGCCACGTGCGTAAAGTTTAGCAAAGAACACCCGCACAGCTTCAAATAGACTGTTGGGGCAAGTGTTGTTGGCGAGCACCTATAATGGCCGGCATGGCACAGTAACCACGCCTGGCCGCGTTTGTCTCCCAAGTGACGATGTTTACACACCACCCCAGGTACTCTTTTTAGGCTGCTCGACCTAGGGGAGGCCCAGGACGAGTTCAGATAATCGTCACTGGTGGTGGCCGTGATCGGGAATCGAACTCGGGTCGATGGGTTCGTAGCACAGCGCGCTAACTGCTGCACCACCGCTCGTCCCCCCCCCCCCCTCAAGACACAAACACACAGACACATC